CCATGTGGTATACAAAGTAGCTTGAAAATAACCCCTGCACTGCTTTAACGTGGATAGCTCTCAGCTGCAGGAATTTAGACCTTGGGAAATGTGTGTTTTTAAGGGGAAGCAGGGGAAAAAAACTGCATGGTGGTGCCTACAGTCTGCCAGGCAAAGGGCAGACTTTTAAATGGAGAAACAAACTTACAGAAAGGTTTCCAACACTGGGATTTTTTTTAAGTTATGTTTAAGCAATCAGGTAGCTAAAGGACAACTCAAAGTGATGGGAGTGACTAGGGAGGAAGAAGTCTGCTGAGTCAGTGCCACCTCAAAGTTTCAATATGCCTGTGTCTGGGCAGCAAAACATGCCTTAAAGCTGCTCTGAAGAGATAGCTAGAGTCCTGGTGGAAGCCATTTACTACTTATTGTAACCTTTAAAGCCTTAAAATAAAGGCTTGGTGGATCCCAGACACCAAGAGAGTTTTTAATTTTAATCACTCAGGCTGCATGGTGCAGATGGCTGGGTTTTTTGATGCAAATCCTGCTGTGGTTGTCTCCAAGCCTTTGGTTTCTTTCATGCTTCCTGGCTGCATATAAGCTGTCTAGGGGATAAATATTCAGACCTCTCCGATGCTTCACCAAACACAGCTCGTTCAGTTTTCTGCTCGGGGTCTACACCAGCTTCCAGTTTGCTCTGGGATAAAATGGAAGGGCAACAGTGTGCAACTCCAAAGATAGACTGGCTGCAAGGGAGGAGGATGAGCAAAGTAAACCCAGCCGTTCCTGACACCTCTTTTTAGATTCAAAGTCCCTTTAGGTGGACAGAGATAAACTGTTCCAAATTTCAGCATAATGGGAGCAAGAGTCTTGCCTACAACACAATAATCTTCCTTTTGAGTAAAGGCTGCTTTTTTCAAAAACAATCTCCATCTTCCTTATCTCATTTAAACCTGAAGACTGCAAGAGAGGGAAAATTTACTGTAGACCATGTTAAGGTCATGCAGAGATCTATCAGCATTAAAAAAATGACTTTTCAACTTGCAGTCATCAGATCTTGCTGTACGTCAGTCTGCTAATACCTTACTCCCCCTAGCACTGAAAATATAGCTTTGGGTAATAGTCTCTATATCCCTGATTAGTTCATAAAGCCACAAATGAGTGACACCCCTTTACTCTGCTGCGGTGCTGAGGTGGCCTAGGCTTGAATGCAGGTGGATGTGTGGTCCGGTATGCTTTGAACATGAATCCTGCTGGAGAATGTGATTTTAATCAGGAATATCTGAGCATGCTTCCAATGGGAGCATTTTTATAGTTGAGATATACATCTATAAGAAAGTACATGCTACATGGAATAGATTTCATGTAATAAACTGAAAAAAACCATGGATAAATCCAAGTTTGTTGCCAAACCAATCCCTAAAAAGGGCCAGCACCATTCCTAGGAATTCCCAGAGGAGGTCTGTCCTATGCAGACATTTAGTTCAGATCCCAGCAGCCCCTTTCTAATCTTGGAGTTGAAGGAGGAGAGAGGAAGTGCATGAAGATTAGGAAAAGCATCGTATCTTGGAAAAGACTAAGGACAATGGGACATGCTACCAGGAGAGGTTGGGAAAATACCAGGGCTGGAGAGAGACTTGGTAGCTAAACTTTGTGGTTGCTTATTTGAAAGGGAAGTCAAAGATACATCAATGCAGGAAGATGGTCCAGACCCTTCTAGTCTAGCAGAAGGACGTCCCTTCTGCTATATGATGCTAGGTGTGAAATGGTCCAAGGGTTCTCCAGGATCCTTATAACCTTGTTCATGCCTACAAGGCAAGGAATTTCCTACCGGTGAAGGAATGTGTTTGGATTCATGCGTCATGGAAGGGTTTGGGACAGGTCTACAATGCTCTTCAATGCAAAATGAAAGCCAGACTTACGCTAACGTTAGTTTTATCACTTCCACCAGAAGAAATACTCCATCGTTTTATAACCTAAGCATGCATAAAAGAGAAAAAAAATCTTTTGTTGTTACTTTAACCCCTGGTATCTGCAGTTTGCCATCTCAGGGCAAGCTGAAGATGGGGTATGATTTCCAGTGGGGGTCCCCAGCAGCAAATGGCAGCAAAAGGGGTGAAGAAAGCTATCTATTTTTCTTTGTACTGCTTTGGATGTTTTTAAACCAATACCCACTCTGACTTTCCAATAGTAATCTTTGCAAGCTCACCCTCTCAGGCTATATCCAAGGAAAAATCACAACTTGAAAAAGATTCAGTCAATATGCAAAGGCCACCTTCACAGCTTCTTTCCAGCAGTTCAAAGCTCTTTGATGCTGACACTGGCAACTTTAATTCTAGATAGGTGCATCTCTGAAATACTCAAAACACCTCAATCTATAAAACCCTCCTGCAAACATACCACAGATTAGCTTTTACATGGTGTTTAGGCATTTCTGATTTTACAGCTGTGTCACAGAATCACAGAATCACAGAATTGTAGTGGTTGGAAGGGACCTCAGAGATCATCGAGTCCAACCACAAAAAAAAAAAAAAAAAAAAAAAACCAACCACCACCAAACAAACAGTACCTAAATAATAGAAAAAAAGGCTGAGACATGAAATTCAGGGAAAGGCATTGGGATTCTGGGCCAGCACAGGCTTCTTTGATCTGAACCTGCATGCTAGATTCACTGTCCCTCTCATTCTGTAATGCTGGACAGCCCATAATGACACCTTGCCACACACAATAAGAGCAGGATTTGCTGGGACCAACATCTCTGGAGCTCAGCACAGCACTGCTGTGAGATCTGAAAGCAGACCAAAGTGTCTGCTGTGCTCTGCTTCCACAAAGAACCAAACTAAACCTCTTGTACAATCATCTTCTGAGCTCTGGTCTTCCCTCTAAGGAAGTCCCATCAGAAATAAGTCCTGCTAGTGCCTCTATAGCCATGCTGCAGGTGACTCTGCATCCTGCATCTGACTTTTTCTTGTAAATGACTGAGAATGTTACAAATCATAGAATCATAGAATGGTTCAGGTTGGAAGGGACCTTAAAGATCATCTACTTCCAGCCCTCCCCTCCCATGGGCAGGGACACCTCCCACCAGACCAGGTTGATCTTGAACATCTCCAGGGATGGGGCAGCCACAGCTTCCCTGTGCAACCTGTTCCCATGTCTCACTACCCTCACAGTAAAGAATTTCTTTATAGTATCTAATCTAAATCTCCCCCCTTTCAGTTTAAAACCATTACCCCTTGTCCTATTGCTACACTCCCTGCTGAAGAGTCCCTCCCCATCTATTCTATAGACCTGATGACTGTTTATACTGCAGAATTTGTGCTTGACTGCAGTCACTACTGCTCCTTCAGCCCTCCGAAAGCATTTTGCTCACAGAGGAGAAGTTACAGGCCTTGGGCAAGCCGACATAGGATTTACAAATGTTTACACAGAAGCTACTGCTCCATAAATTAAGCATTTATCAATATAAGTCACTCATTTGTTTAGCTGCACAGTGTAAGCCTTATTTGGCATCCAGCACAACTCTTTTAACCCACCAGTTTTAAACCCTTGAAGAAGCTCTCTGGCAAAGGCAGCACCCCCAGAAAGGTGCCAGAAAGAAAAGAAAACAACATTTCTTTTTCTCATCCTACTCCTAGAAAAGCCCGTTCAGAAAGGGATGTACTCACCTCAAAATCTAGCTCTGCGTACCGGGATTTCCGCCTCTGGGTATTCAAAAGAAAAAAGAAATGGGTGAAGATTAATAAAGGGTTGATACTGGTGAGTAGGCACAAACTCAACCACACAGTAGATAAAACAGGGACAGTCCCTCTCCTTTTCCTTCTTCCTACACCTTTAATGTGTTTCTCTGTCTCTTCATGGTAGAACGTGGCAGTCATTTAGAGGGTTTTTTACCAAAAAACCACTGAGCCTTGAGGAGGGTTAAGTATGTAAGTTTGACCATTTCAAGCTCTGTCCTAGCTACGAGCTTGCAGGTCATCAACAGAATGGGAAGCAGAGAGGGAGCAGTAGATCAGCCAACTGATCTACTGGAGCTTTTGAGCACCTCAGTCAACCACAACTGAAGCTTGGATAGCAATGGTAGGTACTGGAAGGGGCTATAAGGTCTCCCCTTAGGCACAACCTGAATTTAATTTCCTACTGCCAACATGACCTTGCTGCTTGTTTTTTCCCTTCTGCTGGAGTTGATGCTCTTCCTTGCGACCTTTGGGCTCTTGGTCAGCAGGACTAAAGGGCTGAGACATGGGGGAGGTGGCATCTCATCTGCCCTCCTTTATTTGCATTATCCATATCAAGTACTGCAGAGGCTCCTGATAACTCTTTCTAGTACCAATTCCCTGCCCCATTGAAAGGCTGCAAGGTCTTTCCCTCATCCTGCCTCCCTCAAAAATCTTTTTTTTTGCCCTAGAAGTTTGTTCCTGTCAAGCAAAGCCAAGTATATTGTGATCAGCTGCAATAAATACCCTTGTGCTACATCTAATTAGAATGCAGTCCCCAAGAAGTGCTACCACCATCACCTACATCCCATTTCTGGGGCTTTCCTAAATACTGATGCCCATTACTGCCACCTTGGTTTCCAACCCAGCTCCTGCAGCTGGGGTAGAACATTTCTGCTGTCCCCACTTTCTGCCCAATCTCCCTTCCAGCTAGATTTCCTCAAAACTGGTCTGGTTTCCAGATCTTAGCTACGAGTGGATGGATGGGACAGTTGGAGATGACCTGATCGGGGATGCAAAGGACAGACACAAGGAACAGAACAGGACAACCGAAACTCCATTCACCAAAAACAGACATAAGGACTGACATTCTCCTTCTCGGCTGCTGACCACGCTGCAGATAAGCTAGTGGTGCTTCTGTGACTCTGCGTGCCTCATGTGGTGAACATGTGCTTGTGGCAACATGCATGGTTAGAAAATCAAGGTAAGACATTCAACGAGGGCTCCTAATCTTTCCTGCTTCTTCCTGTGCTCCTGCTGGCATTAGAGAGCTCTGGGAGATGATGGTTCTGCAAGTGTCTGACTAACCTTGCTGTCCGTTGTTGGAGACTCCTTCTCCTTCTCTGCGTGCTGGAGTTTTCTGTTCAGGTCTTGGAACATGTCTTGGTGACGTTTTCTTGTGTGCATGATTTTCTGAAGCAGAGACAAGGGACACAGGTCAGGAAACCTTATTCAGCTGTAGAGAAGCAACATGTCTTCCCCCCAGGCTTACATATGTTCTTAAAACCTGCCTCTGTCTCCCTGCAGGTGCAATCTCCTGTGCCTGAACTACCTCCAAAGTTCACTGAGCACCCAGTGTAGCACTGCCTCTATTTTCAGGAATGAGATGGTGGGAGAAAGTGGAAAAGACTAATTTTTGACCTTTTGGTTATCCTAAACCTGCAGCTGATGACTGTTTATACTGCAGAATTTGTGCTTGACTGCAGTCACTACTGCTCCTTCAGCCCTCCGAAAGCATTTTGCTCACAGAGGAGAAGTTACAGGCCTTGGGCAAGCCGACATAGGATTTACAAATGTTTACACAGAAGCTACTGCTCCATAAATTAAGCATTTATCAATATAAGTCACTCATTTGTTTAGCTGCACAGTGTAAGCCTTATTTGGCATCCAGCACAACTCTTTTAACCCACCAGTTTTAAACCCTTGAAGAAGCTCTCTGGCAAAGGCAGCACCCCCAGAAAGGTGCCAGAAAGAAAAGAAAACAACATTTCTTTTTCTCATCCTACTCCTAGAAAAGCCCGTTCAGAAAGGGATGTACTCACCTCAAAATCTAGCTCTGCGTACCGGGATTTCCGCCTCTGGGTATTCAAAAGAAAAAAGAAATGGGTGAAGATTAATAAAGGGTTGATACTGGTGAGTAGGCACAAACTCAACCACACAGTAGATAAAACAGGGACAGTCCCTCTCCTTTTCCTTCTTCCTACACCTTTAATGTGTTTCTCTGTCTCTTCATGGTAGAACGTGGCAGTCATTTAGAGGGTTTTTTACCAAAAAACCACTGAGCCTTGAGGAGGGTTAAGTATGTAAGTTTGACCATTTCAAGCTCTGTCCTAGCTACGAGCTTGCAGGTCATCAACAGAATGGGAAGCAGAGAGGGACTTGCAGGTCATTCACAGAATGGGAAGCAGAGAGGCAGCAGTAGATCAGCCAACTGATCTACTGGACCTTTTGAGCATCCCAGTCAACCACGACTGAAGTTCGGATAGCAATGACCAAGACCTGCTCTCTGACAATAGGCAAGAAAAGGGCCAGATGCCCTAGGACAGACCTCAGCGTAAGATCTAAGGTCTAGGGAGAACAGCTAATATTTATAATGAGCTGTCACAGAAGGAGAGGGCTGCACTTATGCTAAACTTCTGACATCTCTCCGATGCTAAGAACATTATAGGGTGTGCCTTAGGGACATTTTACACCTGTGATCACTAAGGTTTTCTCATCTGTATCAGGGCTGAAGTCATCAAAATTGGAAACAGAGGCAGGGGATAGAAGGAGAAAAGGTAATGCAAGCCGTGTGCCTTGCGCTAAATTGAACAGTCTTTGAAAAACTAACATTTTTATTGGACTTTGCATTGCCTGTAGGGCTAAAAACAGTTCATCAAATGATGGAATATGTCTGTAGAAGTCATGAGTGATTTTAAACATTAGATTACAACATGGCCTCACGAGTAACATTTTTATTGGACTTTGCATTGCCTGTAGGGCTAAAAACAGTTCATCAAATGATGGAATATGTCTGTAGAAGTCGTGAGAGATTTTAAACATTACATTACAACATGGTCTCACATGCCAGTGATCCCTCATGATAATATAATACTGACATTGTGTAGTAGGCTGCATTTGCTAAGGTGGTTCTCTCAAAACATGTGATGTGGCCAATGTTGAGGGCAAGGCATCATTCTGGGCTGAGAAGACAATAATTCACATGCTTACCTCTAAGGAGCTCATGGAGAGGGTGGAGACAGTCTCACTCTTGGACACCACACCCGAGTTCCCTGAGTCACCTGTGTCACACAGGCTGTTGGGAATCTGTGACTCGTTGGAGATATTTTGTGGAGCCAGCTGCTGCTGCTGTTGTATCATGGGGGAACCTTGCACTTCACTGCATGTCATGGTCACAGGCTCCCGTGGAGGACTCTTGACAACAAAGCCTGGATCAGTAGCCATACTGAGGTGGATGAGCCGTGTCTGGGGCATCTGGTCAATATTGATGCTGTATTTGCTCTCATCTTTGGGTGGTTTGGCCCTTAAGGTAGACGTGTTGGTAGGCAGAATGACGTAGCTGGTGTCCAGCGTTTGCTCTTGTGCCCGGGAGAGTTCGGAGTCCAACTTCTTGAAGATGTCTCCATCACAGATGTAGATGGACTTAGGTGGTTGGTTCTTATCCTTCTTCAGAGTGAGACTGTGATTGCTGAACTCATTCAGGTTGATGGCCCCCAGGTAGTGTGGTGAGCCCTGAAGATGCATCTTGGAGACGTTGGCTGGAAGACTGTTAAAGTTTGATGACCCCTTCTGGTGATTGAGTTTCAATTTCTCTTCATCTGGCAGTGATGGACGCTTCAGTGTTCCTGTGATGGTTGAGGTCCTGCAGGTGGTGATGTCTTTATTCAGCACTAGGGGGACAGATAAGTATCCTTAGCACCTCACCTGGGTTTTTGTTAACACATCAATACACCTACTACAGTCACACCACGCTAGCATGTTCCCTTGGACCTCTCAGAAAGAAGCTATGGTGGCAAAACAATGATTTATACTGGTGTGTGTTTGTTTGTTTGTTTGTTTGTTTTAAATCCAGGATGCTGGAGGCAAAGCTAGGGAGGAAAAAAAATTCTCATTTTTGAGAGAGTTCTCTGTGATGGGAATTTTCCAACATAATCTTGGCAAAAACTCCCAACTAAGCCAACACATATTGTCATATTGATAACAATATCTTGTACATATATTTAGTACATGTAGTATATGTATATATATGAAATATATACATGTTACTAACCTATGGAGTAGAATTCTTTAAAATAAAAGGTTGCTTTCATGTCAAAAATTACTTTGATTCAGGAAATAACTGAAATGCAGCATTATCAATGATTCAAATACAAATTCTTCTTTTTTAAAAAGTCACTGAACTGCTTCAGGTTACTCTTTTCCCTTGAACAGTTTCAGTGTCAGTGATTTGGTATTTTAAAATACACCACGTTTTTAAAAAACTTTCTAACTGCTCTCCAAAAAGCTTATGTTCTTGTGATCATGGCAAGTCTTCATGAGAGTTAATTATTTGGTGTTTTCCAGCTCCCCTTGAGGAAAGAAAAGAGTGCCATGAATATTCCTTAATAGGAGAAGAAAACCTTAAACTGAGGACAAGGTGAACATGCAATTAGGAGGTATATAAAGGACACACAGACACTCATTCCCACACAACACTGTCCACAACAAGACATCTGCTCCTTTTCTGGGCCTAAGAATCTATTGCTCAGTTGATTTCAGGCTGCAGCAAACACCTTTGGAAGATAATGATATCAGCTTTGATGTCTCCAGGGGATGGAAATCACAAACTGTATGGGGCAGGGACAAAGTGTGGGATGGAAGGCTACTTACCTGGTATTTCAGCACAGGAAAGGAGAAATAAATGCATGTTCCTCTTTCAACCATCTCAGAAGGAAAATAGACCCAAAGGTCCTTTTATCTATTTTTTCTCAATGGACTAGAGACAAGGATCTTTGGGGCAACCTGATACTATTCAGCTGCTCCACTTGGTACAGAGGCAGAACATGACAGAGACATCCCATGGGACTGAGGACACACTAATTTTTCTATTAATTCCTACCGGGAATGATGGGTGCTGGAAGAGCAAAGCTCTCCTCAAAGACTACAGAGCAGGTAAGGCAGGATGACAAGGACACCAAGTAGAATAAAAGAACTTTTAAAAAGCTGTTAAACACACTGGGTGTAACTATGGCAGCCACAGTCATCTTGACATTGCTAGAGGACACGCTAGGATAAGTTGGAGCATTACAGCATATTCAGAGCATACAGTGAGGGAAGATGTTACTGAGTCAAACCCTCCACTTGGGGGTGTCAGGTTTATTGATTCACGCTCTTCTCCATGCTCACATCAGCTGCACAAACTAGGTTTGGAGAGGTTTGCACTTGGTAATCTCCAAGCATGGAGCAGAGTGAGCTTTCAACACTGGGCCATTAACAGGGAATCCAAGTGAGAAGGTCGTGAGCAGTATCAGGCATACCTCCAGGCTGTCAACAGGAGACGCACTGCCTCCAGAAGAAACAATGGCCATAATCCAATAGGCAGATTTCTATTTTTAATTACTCAATAAGCAGTATGTATAGGATGGTGCACTATATAGAAAGATCTCTGAAATGGGGACTAAGTACTTAGCTTGGTGCAGACTAAGAGCACTTTATCAGAGGAGGACTATCTCTTCAGGCAGGTGTCAACAAACTATATATCGCTGTGTGCTGGCAAAGGAAGGGAAGCCTAGACGGTTAGCAAGCTGCTTATCCAGGGTCTTCTGCCCTGAAGTCATGTGAAAATGATCAGCTCCTTCCTTTCCTCTGGGAAGCTCGATTTGGGAGGAAGAAACTTGGTAGCAGATCAGAAAGGCTCCTGTATTGCAGGAGCGCAGGGTCTGCCTTGGTTTCCAGCAGAAGATGGGCTGCTGGCTCTGTAACTGCTTGTGTGTGTCAACACCCAGCCTAGATAAACCTTCGTTGAGCATGTGTTCAAGTCAGACCTGGGCTCACGTGCACCTTTCTCACATGTGACTTTGTGGTACCGAGGTCTTCGGTGTCAAAAAGGAAGGAGGAAAACAAATGAGAAGAGGAAGACAGCTAGAAATTAGATTAGAGAGTGTGAGACAGAGACACAGAAAGGAAAAAATGGACAGACCCTGAAAAGAGATAAATGGACAGAAAGAGACCATGAAATAAGATATCACAGGGATAAGTGAGATAAATATACTGTGACTGTGATAAGCATAGGGAGAGGGAGTGAGGCAGAAAGAAGGACAGGAAAAGATAAATAAGATATAGATAGATATTAGATAGATAAATGGTAGTGACAGTGATAGACAATGCACAGAAACACAGTGACAGAGATAAATGTTGACAGAGGTATAAATACATAAATAAAAGGTACAGCACAAGAGACAGTTGAGGACAGAGATAAATAAGTGATTGCAAGATCGAGAAAAAGAGATGAATTATAGATAACTACATAAGAAGCAGATAAATAAATGATAAATTAGGTAAAGAAAAAGACAAATGAAAAGGACAGGTAGGTAGGCATGTGTAGAGAGAGAGAGAGGAGAGAAAAAGAAAGAGAAAGAAAGAGAGAAAGAGTAATAAAAAGAGAAACAGAAGCTTTACCATGATGGCAACGGAACACACAATATGTACTGTCCTTGGCTAGGGGAGATCCTGGTTTGGAAGATATGAATTCTATGCAGGTGCCAAGCAAGCTGGTATTTCTCTTGCTTGGGAGAGGGGAGAAGTCTGGGAGGGTAAATGAAAGCCTAAATATCTACAAAGGGTAAGAAAAAAACCCCCAGCCAGGCATGCCAGGACCAGGAGAATACAAAACCCGCAGAGACGAACAGGTAGCAAAGGAGAATCCAGACAGCACAGACATCCCCAGGACAACGAGAGAAAAGGGAGTTATTGGGGAAAGGGGCCATCAACTCATGCAGATCTTCAGGATCATAATTTGTGTGACTGAACACACAGCAGAAAGGTGAAGGCAAAGGAGGAGAGACCTGAGAGCCACCCTCTCAGGCTGGGAGGAGACCCACCTCCATACAGACTTACAGCTGCACCAGAGGTGGAGTGGTAGGAAGGTTCTCCAGACTCCCAGACCTTCTCAAAGACACCCCTTCCTGGCCCCAGAGCTGTCTGGGGTTGGTGCGACCCCCTTGGGCAGGGGTTGCTAAAGCAAAGAAGGATCACAGTAGGAAGAGATGCATTCAATCTCTTCTTCCTTGATACTCTTCGATGCCACGTGGGCCACAGGAAAGAAATAATATCTCAGAGG